ACTCCCTTACCTACTACACACACACACACACACACACACGCGCATACGACGGTCCTCGATCAAATTGAAAAACGCTCGGAACAAGTTAGAAGACATTCTTTTGCCATCCCATCTCGCTGGTGCTCTTCCAAGGACTGGACTCGCGTACATTCCTTTTTCTTTTTTTTTTCCTTGTTCTCTCTCCGTTAGCGTCCACGCTCTCATCCGGGAGATGGCAAGAAGAACAGCACGCGCACCCGGTCCTCCTCTCGACGAGCGTCGTCGGGCACTTAATATCCCGATCGACGCGCGCGCGCGCGCACTTAATATAAAATAATAAAAAATACAAAACTACTTGCACGTGAACAATTTCTCCGTAATTCGCCGCGACTCGGTCGCCAGACGTTAATAGTATATCGCATTCGCGTTTACATTTTATACGATGTGCAACGTGTTCCTTTGCGGATTTTCCCTCATCCTTCGGTAATGATTGCAGTCACAGTCAAACGCCGCTTTTCCCTCTGTTTTCTTTTTCTTTCTCTCTCTCTCTCTCTCTCTTTCCCTTTGATGCCTATTCATCCATAATGCCTGATGCCCGTTAGCCCCCTTCTCCTCTTTCTCTCTCATTTTTTGTTTTCTTTTCCACCTTCGTCATTTGCTTTTCTTCGCACTATGCTCTTTAAATTAATCTTTCGTCTGATCATATATCCCGTTCTTTATATTTGTATCCGTAAAGTGTTTCTTTTTTTCCCCCTAAGGCTGCTCGTCCGATATACTTCAGAGGACCAAACATGAGACGAAAAGTACGTGTACAGTACAGAAGATACATTTATTGTTTACCTTCCGAAACGTAGAAAATAAATACTAAATCGATCAATAAATAATAATCGTTATAACATTCTCTATTTCTTCTAAGTATGCTAATACACTATAAAAAAAAAAAAAAAATCATAGTACCGTACATTTAATTTACACATATATGTCAGTTTACTACACGGTGGACATTTGACTATCCTTGCAGGAACATTCGATAATTCTGAAGTTTGACATCACGTGTCTCGGATTTTCGGAAAATACAAAGCGAAAGTTGTTCTGCCAATCGATGATCGATACCGATCGTGGATGCGATCGCGCGTGTTGAAGGGAAAATTATAATTAGAAAACAACGCAATTATGCGAAAACAGCATTCGGTAAATCGCGCCGCTTCGAATATACTTCTCATCGCTGCCCACCATGTAAATTGCAAACAAAAAGTATCATTTCGAAATGCATAGGACTGATTAAAACGCGTAACACGCGATCGACGCGTCGCGAATGCCTAGCGCATCATAGCACAATTGAACTTTTAACCCTTGGATGCGTGGCCTCTTCCGGTAGGAGCGTGCAAAGACGATTTCGATCAATTTTAAATCGAATATTGATGAAAAGACAACGCGAGATACCTCTTGGGAATTACATACGATAAAGAAAAGGTCTGAAAATCTCCTTCTTCAAAGACCTTCTTCTTCATGCATCCAAGAGTTAATCGTATCGAGTCTACGTGTACGTTAAATTCGTTTACACAATTGTTCGAAAATCAATTCTTCTCTGGAATCGAAATTCTATATTGATACCTTTTCTCTCGTCATTTTTTTATAAAATAACATAAAATAAAATAGGAAAGGAGACGCAAGAAGCCTGCGTTATGCGACATCAGTCTCGGGACCGATCGCAAGTTTCCTTGCGAAATGATAGACACGAAAGTGGATATGGCAATATCCACGTCTTCGATGACAGATGAAATGGACTGCCGTCGACGACACGGCGCACGTGGATTGTTGCCATTTACGAGGAATTCTCCTTAAGTGTGTAACATTCTTGGCAAAGCCTCCGAGAGCTGACGCGATATAGCCTCGATGACGAATCGTATTAAAAATTTGAGAACACTCGCACCCAACGGTCGGAAGCCAATGATATTTTACCTCGTTAAATGCTATCCCTCCCCCACCCTCCCACTCCCCTTGAATGCTCTAGATGAAATAATTATTCGATTCCCTCGTAAAAGAGGCATTCACACCTTGGTCCACGATCACACGGCATACGATTCACGCACGCGAATTGCACTATTAAATCTAGTAATATAACAGGTATAAGTATGACATGTCTAAAAATCCTGTCGGTTGTGACGCAAATCGAATTTGTACTTTTTCCCCTCACGTAGTAGATTAGATAGACAAGAACGCCCGACGTGTTAGCACGAAACGATATCGACATTCTATAAAGCTCCTACTATCATCATCATTCAACCGGTAATGACTCGCGAACTCGCGTCACCTATATATCGTTAATGCGCGTTACTTTAAGCAGAAACAATGCCCTAGAAAGGTCCCCAGGACCACAAGAGCCTAGCGTTCAGCCCTCCCCGATCGGACAACAGCCACGTTGTCTTGAGTGTGTTAACTGTTAACGACTTAATATTCGTGTTCTCAGCTCAAACAACTGAGCTAGTTACCTTCCCGACATTCAATACCGATTAATTAATACACATTTATTGTATTTATTGTTATTCCGTTAATTGTTCGTTCATCAATTCGCATGGAAATTGAATGTCACAAGATCGTTTGATATCACAGTCGTTTTTCAATTATTTTAGTGTTATGTATTTATATATATAACGCGCGCATATCATACTGATAAATACAGCTAGAAAATAATATCGAGTGCGCCCCGTGTGTCTCCCTCAGGAGGCTTATGCTTGCTTTCTATCTTCCCCTTCCCCCTCCCTTTTTTCTTAATGAAGTAGAGCCCACTATATCAATGCAAAAGCATCTCTCCTTCTGCTCTTTGTTTTAATATCCCTCTGTAACTGCAACCGTATTTTTAACCTGTCTCAATATAATTTATCTTCCATGAGCACTCACACATTCGCATTCTGCAGACTAAGATTTCTTTTTTATAAAGCGCCACACCAATTTCGCAGGGCAACGTCTCTGTTACGTTTAGAAATGCTATTCAAGAAGCACGCTTCTACGTGGGATCAATGCAGTTCTGTCTGTAGAACTACTCACAAGCTCAGGTACATAAACAGTTTACCTGCCTTTTACACTAAAAGCATATTTAGCCGCGTGTGAATACAGTGAAATCTCCATATTCATACAAATATTCCCAAAGGAAAATTTATTCATTTTATTGCAAATGTTTATAACTTCGGAAGAAAGACGGCGCAAAGGTCGCAAATAATTTTATTGGAAAACACAAGTATTTTTAAACAAAATCTAGATCTATTATTACATATTGTAGAAAATTTTTGTCAACATTGTATTATAAAATATATCGAGATCTCACTGTAACGGCTGAAGTTATGAAAATAACTTATGAAAATAATTGCCAGTTGTAAATCGCGTAAGCGCCGTCTTGAAATTTTCTGAATTATCAAGTGTGTATATGTGTGTGTATATATATATGTATATATATATATATGTGTGTGTGTGTGTATGTGTATCATATATATACACACACGCACACATACATACACACATTCATTATACATGTCAGGCTATAACAAAATGTGAGATTTCTAAAGGTATCTTAAGACGTAGCCTGTGTTGCCTTTCTTTCTTTCTCTCGGAACCATCGATCCCCGAAAAATTCACGTGGCTTATTCGAGTAAACCATATAATATTGCCGGCGCAATATCGTCTTTGGGGACGGCAAAACAACAAAGTACCATTCGTCGCTGAACTACAGCAAATTAAAGAAAAAAAAATAAGGAATTATCATACAATCTATGGCAACGGTAATTCGGCGTATCCTAGGCATTCGATAAACGTACATGTATAAAGAATTATGCCATTCATTTGAACAAAAACTGCACGACTTTGGCTACTGGCCATTATGATAGCAAAGGCAATAAAGTATCTGTGCATTAAAATGTTTTATGATAGTCAAACTTTAAACGCTACAATTACCGAAGATACGCCCACCGTACCCTCTATTAAAAAAAAAAAAAATGTAAATAATAAAGTTACGATGAGCCCCATAATCTCGACAGGAGTTCTAAAAATTTTACTAAGTTTCCAGCTACTATGTGTTATATCGTTATTCCCTTCGAATAGGAACTAACGATTTTACTGATTTGATTCGTTAGTGGTTATACTACTTGTGTTTCTCAGCACGCACGGCAACGAAATGTTGGATGGATCTCTATTAACTAATAAGTGTTGAACAAATCCTATTTACGATACTCGCACTTTTTATGGTGAGATCATTCACGTTTGAAATATTCTCCGGCGATCCACCGGCGCGAATATTAGATTGCACGCAGGATTTGTCGATGTCGCGCTCACGAACAAATGTAATATAGTGGAATTTAAACAACGTAAGTATTCTTTCTGCTTCTCATCCAAAAACTCGAAGTGCACAGGCAGTCAGCGAAAACGTGAATACGTATTATACGTGAAACTGTCTGTACTCTGCGCATGTGTAACATGTATACGCGCGCAAAACACGTGCGTGTAGTGTCAGACATAATAAATGTCGTGTCTCCCTTACATATAATTGAATTTGCGTGTAGAGTAATAATAATAATAATGAGATAGAAGTAGAAATAGAGATGGAGATAATCGTCTACTTGTCCCATGCTCCCCACCAGTCAGGGCCACTGTTGCCATTGTTAGTGGAATTATTGTACGATGAATTATTATAGTTACCTCCGTAATTTGAATAACCGCCTGCAAAAAAATGTATAAATAAGATACTGAATTTTTGTGTTATATAAATAAAAAACATTGCAACAACTCATCATTCTTCCTTTAAGTTTAGTTAATTTTACTAATACATATACTATTCTGTATTAATCGTAATCTTTATTTACCTCCGTAACCACCAGGTCGTGAGGGTCCATTGCTGCGACCAGATCCAGAACTGGGTTGTTGACGATAATCTCTTGCACCAAAGCCACCGCCAGTGAAGCGCCCCTTGGTACCACCGCCACCGCCACCGCCGCCGCCACCGCCGCCGCCGCCGCCGCCGCCGCCGCCTGGTCGCCGAGATCCACCTCCGGAATATCTCGCTTCGGTATACATGTCATCCAACCAGGGCGGAAGTTCCTGATTGGCTTCGATAAGCAGAGACACCAAATCACGTACCAAATTGTGATTCTTATGGTTGAAAAATGACGTAGCCAGACCTGAATTATAAAACAAAATATGGTATAACATTCACATATGCCTATCCTTTTAATAATCGCTAATAGAACAATGAATGTAATGTTTAAAAGAAACAAACCTAAATTGCCCATACGACCAGTACGACCAATGCGATGAACGTATTCCTCAACGTCGCCAGGTAAATCGAAATTAATAACATGCTTGACGTGCGGTATATCGAGACCACGAGCCGCCACTGCAGTTGCGACCAAAATCGGCGCTTTACCCGCACGAAAACGACGTAACGCTTCCTCCCGCTCGCGTTGAGTCCTATCGCCATGAATGCTAGTAACCGGGTATCCCATTGAGGCCAAGTATTCTTCAAGCATGTCGGCGCCTTTCTTAGTTTCCACGAACACTAGGGTGAGTGATTCAGCAGCTGCATAATCATAAAAACACGTTAATTTTTTTTCTTTTTACAAGTTTTGCCGATTTTAAATACAACTAAAAATTCATTGTTAATCCAGATTTAACTCAACGTTTTAACTTAACGTACTAGGATCTGAAAAGTTGCTAGCCTGTAGCAAATCAAGCAAATATGAACGTTTGTCATGTTCCTCCACCCATACAATCTTCTGTGTAATATTCTCGGAAGTCGATCCCACGCGACCAACCGCCAAGAAGATGTAATTACTGAGAAAATCTCTGGCTAACATTTGTATCTCCTTCGGGAAAGTAGCAGAGAACATGAGAGTCTGTCTCTCTCCAGTCGGTGGCATGTTATCCTCCTGGACGATACGTCTGATCTGCGGTTCAAAACCCATATCTAACATACGATCTGCTTCATCTAGAACTAAGAATCTGAAATGGAAATGATAAATGAACATAATCGTAATCATTCGCAAGTCATTACTCGCAATAATCATTACTGTGTCACGTAAACATACCGGCAATTGTGTAAGCCAATTTTACCACGTCCTAGCATGTCCACCAGACGTCCAGGTGTCGCTACGAGTAGATGGCAACCACGATCTAATTCACGCATTTGATCTACTATATTAGAACCACCATATACAACGGCAGGACGCATACGCGATCGGTATGCAAACTTCCGCGCTTCGTCATATATTTGCGTGGCGAGCTCTCTAGTAGGGGCCAACACCAGACCTAACGGATACTGTTTACGCCTACCAGAAGAGTTCGCTTGTGGTGGTGGCGGTCGTGGCCCACTCTCGTATATCTGATTCAGTATTGGCACTAGGAAGGCCGCTGTTTTACCGGACCCAGTTTGAGCGCAGGCCATCACGTCACGGCGTTCGATGATGATCGGTATCGCATACTTCTGTACCGGTGTAGGCTTATCGTATCCTGCCAAGGCGATACTATTCTTTATTATCTCTGTCAGCTTAACCTCGTCAAACTGAAAAATTGGAAAGCGATTTAATTAAATAGCAGAAAACAGGTACATTAACATCAAGTAAAATCTTACATATTATATACTCACAGATGTGATGTGTGGTGGGATATTCTCTCCGGTAGCCTCAACTGGGATATCCTCATATTTGCTAAAATTGATGCCAGTATTGCCAGAACCAAACAGTTCCAGCTCCAGTCGCTCATCCCTGGCAGTGGGGATTGTCCAGTCGACCTCACCTCTTCCGCCTCGGCCGCCTCTATCGTCGCCCCATCTACCGCTGCTACCCATCCTGTCATTTCTGTTGTCTTGCCAGCGATCATTTCTAATAGGCTCCTGCCAACGATCGTTGCCGCTAATTGGTCGATCGCGTTCGGAATTGGAGTATCTATAATCTCTTCCATTTTCCTGATTGCGCCTATTGCGCCCGCCAAAGCTCCCGAAGTTTGCAAAATCGATATCGCGAGGACTCCGCGAGTCTCGATAACCGGCCCTACCCCTATCTCGATCACGGTCTCTTTCTCGATCGCGATCTCGATCTCCCCCTCTGTCACCAAACGATCTTGAGTTAGAAGAGTAATTTAAATCCGAGGGTAGATTACCTATTAAAAAAAAAAAATTATATAAACATTTACTCATCATACATTTCTCACATTTCATGAAACAATGTAATTTTACAGGCTGAGATCAAGACAGTCTACTGGCTAATGTAAGCGATGTATCAGTCTCGACTCGTTGATCCATTGTGCTACGTACCATTTACATTATTCAATTTTCAACAAATAAAACTCTTTAAAATTTACTTTATAAACTAATTTTAAGAGGCTTTTGTACTCACTCGCAGCTTTATGACGAAGATGCGGTGGGACGTAGCGGCCCCCACTTGGTTGGCGGGAGCCCTGCAAGTCCAGACCAGCTAACTGAAGGAACAGAGACATTCAGAGTTAGACGTCTCGCTTATCGTAACTGAAACCGCGCGCGGCGCTCACGCGGGATAAATTCGTTATCATCCGATTTCCCTTCTCCCGATGATGAGTCACCCCGATTGCCTTCCGCGAAAATCTGACTTACGCGCGACACCTTCCTCCCGCGCGCAATCCGATCGCGGGAACAGACACGCGCAAGAGAAGAGAGAGACAGAGAGAGAAAGAGAGAGTGTGCGAGCGCGTCGCGACACGAGGCATGTCGTTCCCGGAATCGCTTGCCGCCATTATACGTAGCGTACGTCACGAACTGGCCGACGAGTGACGACGGCCCATGATGCTCGCGGGGAAGAGTCTCTCTCTCTCTTTCCCTCTCTTTGTCTCTCTCTCTCTCTCTCTCTCCTCTTTCTCTTCGATCGGATAAAGGAAATTCCCCTCTATACGCTCGCGTCTGTAGAAAATCCGCGAATCGCGTCAGAGAAATGCTGAAACGAGAAAACGGGAGGAAAAAAAATTCGTTAAAATTCGCATCGCGAGAACAACGCTTCCCTCCTTTCCCTCCCAACTCGCTGATCCTCTCTTTTCTTTCTCTTTATCCCCTTTTCTTTTCTTACTTGCTGCTCTAGACCTGATCCATTCTGGTTGGCTGCATTACTCATATTACTCCGCCTCGGTGCGTAGTTTTCGCAGCTCTGTCGCTTGAAGCCCTTTTAGCTCGTTTTTTCTCTTTCTCTCTCTCACACACACACTCGTGCCGAAAAAAATTCCCAACGCGTCCTTAACGCGCTGTCTCTTTCTGTCTTCCTTTCTCTGTCTCCTGTCCCTCTTTTGTCCCTCTGCTTTGTCGTCTCGCGATTGATATATACGCCTCGTCAGACGATAGTTTCGTTATTCGCCTCGCGATTCGAACGATCCTTTGTCAGTTTAGCGAAGAAAAACGGCGCGTGCCGAACAGTCTTTCTCTCGCTGCACCACGATACGGAGGAATCCCGGAGGCAACTGGCGTGACTGCTAGGAAAGCACGAGAGGCCCCTGGCCGCACTCTTGACGTTGACGCAACAAAAATGGCCGAGAGTCGAACTGCCAAAATGGTGGTCGGCCCACTTCCGCCGGATGTCGACTCCGGCTGTGAGAGCGATAGGACGCGGAATACTCGAGGAAAAAACGTCCCGTTCGGACATCCGGCGAAAAAAAACACCTCTACATGCTGGAATTTGAAAATTTACATTGGGAATTTTTCACCTATTGTCGTGTGCAAATGATAATCAGAGAAATTAAATGACGTTAATTTCAACGATAACCATTCTAGAAATCGTTGAAGATAGTTGGTAGCAATGTTCGAGCTATCGAACGCTCTCGACTACTTGAAGTCCACTACCAGAAATTTTTTTTATATAAGAATGCTATTGATATCAGGGGTCTCTATTACATTTGAATACATTTATATTCAAAATTTCAAAAAAATTTAGAATTTCAGAAATACCTGTAAATTTTTTCTCTGATTTGCAATGGTGTCCATTCCTATCATAGATTAATTTTAATCTTGATTTCTTTTTAATTGTAAAAATTAAAAAAGATAATAAATTAAACAAAGATTAAAACTAAGATACTTATAGAAATGTATATCAGTATGTATGAATATGTGTAAACTTTATCTTTGATAATCAAATTTCAAGTAAATGTTTTTCTATTCAATTAGATATATAGAAAAAAATCTATCTCTTCCTCCTTAACTTCAACCTCTGATTCAGTTACGATTTTTCAAAATTCACGGAATTCGTAAAATTTGTTAAAATATAGCGGAGTGATTTTGTGTAAATTTTTCTTTATTGTATAACACATAGTCAAATATCAGCGTTTAATCTAATCGTCCTTTTTGGTATCGGTCTTGCCTCCTCTGATTCTTCCAGTACGACGAGCAGCAATAAGACCGATCTTACGACCAGCGCTGGTGCCACGCTTGACAGTGGATGCCTTACCGATATGTTGATGGTTACCACCACCGTGTGGATGTTCCACGGGATTCATAGCAACACCACGAACCTGAAAAAATTTGAATGCATCTCAAACATGGTAGACAAAACGCAAGCGCAATATGAAAAAGTTCGAAACAAAAGCTCAGTTAAAAAAATTTCCACATTAAATTCTTCGGGTTTCAAATGTCTTAGATACCATCATTGAAAAAAGATTTAACTCTTTGCACATAGTAGCAATATAAAAATCAGAAGATATACCTTAGGCCAACAGTTCCTCTTCGCCTTGTACTTGTGATAAGCCCTACCAGCCTTAAGTATGGGTTTATCTATACGTCCACCACCAGCAACAATTCCAACCATTGCTCTATTGTTGGATGGAATGACTTTCTTCGCGCCTGAAGGTAATTTAACTCTAGTTTTCTTTGTATCTGGATTGTGCGTTATAACTGTTGCATAATTGCCCGATGCTCTGGCTAATCGGCCTCTGTCACCGGTCTTTTCCTCCAGATTGCAGACTATAGTACCCTCAGGCATCATGCCAACTGGCATAACATTTCCAATCTGCAGATTGGCTAGAAAAATTTAAAACGATATATGTCAAAATACGCAATAGCAAATTCTCATAATAGCTTTGATTACTTTAAATAAAGTATTAATTTCATTGAGAAATTATAGTGAAACATACCTTTTTTTCCACAATATAAAAATTGACCGGTATACATTCCTTCTGGTGCAATAAATAATTCTTTCCGTGTTTTGAACTTATAAGGATCACGGAAATGCACCACTGCTAATGGCGCACCACGACCTGGATCATGGATGATATCCTAAACAGAAAAAGCAATCTTAGATGTATCTATTAAACTAATTAAGAACATCTTCATAATGTTGAAAATATATCCTCAGAAAGAGCCTCTATTTAACGTCATTTAATCAATCAGACGTAGGTATATTTGATATCATCATGAATACAAAACTCATATCCATTTCTATCAACGCAGATTAATTTTAATCTTGGTTCAATTTACTGTTTCCTCTTAAAATTTCTAAAACTAAAAAAGAGTAGAGTAGACTAAATTAAAACTAAAGTTAATCCATATTGATGAAAATGGATTCTAGACTGAAGAATTCAAAGTAAACTAGAGTATGAACAGCTAAAGTATGAACAGCAAGTCAACATCTTTTCTCAAATGTTGCTTCGAATTCTGCAGTAGCGCTAATTAAAATATCATGCCAAATAAAACAGAAAGTTGTTGCAAACCTTCACGACACCCTTGATAAAGCCATGCCTCTCGGAGAAGTCCAGAGACCGCAACTTCGGTGCTCCCTTCCTCCTCTTGGTGTGAGATCGAAAAACGGATCCCGCACCTTTACGCTGCGCACGAATTACCCGACCCATGGTTTAAAACCTAAAAGAGAAAAGAAATCGATATCACGATATCACTCTTTCGCCCTCGATGACACGCGTCGTAACACCACGCTCGTTATGCTTCAGCTGGCGCATCTTAACCTCACATGTTGTTCCGCTCCAAGTACGAATCCATTATTTCTCTCGCAAAAATATTGAATGCATCTTACGCAGGAATAACCGAAAGCACATAATTATGAATTTTTTTTCAATGGATTTGTCTCGAATGTAGCAGATCAAAGCGGATAATCCGCGCCAGCGAAATCGCGCATAAGTACCAAAGGAGCCGATGGCAAATAGAGAAAGGTAAAGACGGAAATCGGTCGCGGTTAGTTGTGTAATGTATACTAGCAATGCGTCGCTTGATCACGTAGTCAGTCCGCCAAAATGCGTTCAATTCAAACTTGCTGACCGTGATATTTCGGCGTAATATTAATTTAATTTAATTTAATTTTGCATACACTATGCATTTTGATAATATATTTGATAATATATTGTAATGAGTTAAATAAATAAATAACAATAAATAACGCGTTAATTTACATATATAAATAGCTCTTCAAATTTATCTTTGCAAAGTATTTTTCTCATTAGAAAAGATTTGATGCTAAATTTGAATATTTTATATATTTATATAATTATTCTGTTGTTTCATTATAAAATTGTTGTAAGATTTTCTTTTTTTTCATTGTAACTTTATAAGACTCTTATTGAAATTATTTTTTTTTTTTGCGAGAAAGATTGATTTGATATCGTGTTGTACTTGTGCAAAAATTTACTTTTAGATAAACATTTATTGTAAACATTTATTTTGCAAAATAATAAAATATAAATTATTATTTGTTACAGACCAAGATGCGACTCTGCGATAAAAAATGCTGACATGCGTCATCCCCACTCGTTCCCACGAAATTCTCAATGAGAGACTAACGATAATTCTTTTATTTCAATGTACATATTCGAAATGGATGGACGCGTCAGCTCGCTCATCATCCTTTTACTTTGCTCGTTAATAAATGCGAGAGATGCGGATGTGATTAGACGAAAGAGAATTGTTGGCGGTATTTCGGCCGTGCAACCTCCCGAAGATGATCCGGTAGTTTTTGTGAATAAAAACGGCCGAGATGCGCGTATTATCGGCACCCGCGATCCTGACAAAGGATTTTATACTTTTCGTGGAATTCGATTCGGGCAGCCACCAATTGGCCGAGCCAGATTCCAGGTAAAACATAAATTTATAAGAGTACATACAAAAAAAATTAATTATGCACTGAGAAAAAAAATAATGAACTTGACTAAATAAGTCTCTAAATAAGTCTCTAAGTTGTAAGTTCTTTAGTTCAGGTATATATATGTATTTTAATTAAATATACACGACTAATATTAGCAAAATATTTGTGAGTTAATAAATATTTGCATAATAAATATGTGCATAGCACATGGGTGATAATTGAATTAAATATTCAATTATTGAATTTCTTTTTCAGTTTAGGAATAAAAATTATTAGTATATTAATTATTAGTATATTAATATAAATTCGACTTGTACATTCAACAATCATAAATCTTTGCATAATTTATAGAATTAAAATTCTTTGCAATTTTTACGTACATGTTACATGAAACAAATAAATGTTAGATTAGAAATATTAATTTAAATCTTAAAATATTTCATCGATATTTGTTTCCAATGTATAAAGGTTTGATCTAGAGCCTAATTAAGATTTAAGAATCAAAATTTGCATACAGAGCAAGTATAATTATATCAAATCTCACAATAGTATAAGCGTTTTTTGCACAAATTTTTGTGAGCATATACGTAGATTGCACTAACGTCTCGATTGAACCGTTATGTGAACTGTGGCATTAAAAGCAACACAATGTATGCGATAATTAAATTCAATGACCTATCGAATAAACGTGTGCTTTAATAAGTAATCGAGTAATAATAATTACCTTCCACACAGGGACAAAAGACCAGTTTTTTTTTGTCATATTTTTTTATACTATTAATCGATAGTGTGATCACAGATTAAACGGAACATTATTTTATCTTTCAGTGCATCCTGTCATAACGGCCTAATTTAATGAATTTGATATATGTTATCAATTCCGTTGAAAAAAACTATAAGTTTTTTTGTAGAAAATACGATTTTTAACAAATATTAATATTTAACAAATATTAATAAATTATCTAATTTAACAATATGGTCAAAGATAAATAATAAGATTAATTAATTATTAATATAGCATCAATCTTTCTTGACCTTTTCTTATGCTTTTAAAGCTTCATAAAAACATAATAGAACTATCATTATTATTGACTTAATAAAAGTTAATCTTAACTAAATAATTAATCTTCATTTAATAGGAAGCGCTAAGCAATTATTTTTATTAATTTTTTTTAAACTTTTTTTTATAAATAGAATTTTAGAATTTTTTATTTTAATGTTCCATTAGAATAAAGAGAGTAATTGATAAAAAGTTAAAATATTATATCTTTAATACAAGAAAAGAGATTAATTTAAAAGATAGAAATAATTAGAAATGAATATTTCTAATGTGTTAATATAAAAAATTAATTTTTAGCGAGCTTCGCCTGTTTATCTCGAAGGAGATTACAATGCTACTATGTGGGGTCCTCCTTGTCCTCAGCCCAGCTACGATGGAATCGATAAAACTATTGGAAGCGAGGATTGCCTCTTTCTGAATGTCTTCACCCCATCACTTCCAGATATCAGCGATGGTTATCCTGTATTGGTATGGATTCATGGAGGTGGTTTCAGAAGGGGTGCGGCATGTCAATATGAAATGAGACACTTGATTAAGAAAAAGCTGGTTGTCGTGTCTATTCAGTATAGATTGGGGACCTTAGGTAATTAAAATATCATTAGCAAAAAATATGTTTATGTAGTTACGTAAGTAAGGAGGAAGATTGGCGTCACCGAATTTTTTTTATTTCAGGATTTTTGAGTACAGGTACACAGGAAATGCCGGGAAACAATGGAATGTTCGATATGGTGCTGGCTATCGACTGGGTAAAGGATTACATACATTTCTTCGGTGGTAATCCAAAGAAAATAATAGCCTTCGGCCATGGAACCGGCGCCAGTTCTGCTATGATGTTGTCATTATCAAAATTTTGCGAAAGTAATTGAGATTGCATGATTTTTCGCGTTGCGACTAATAATATGTCTTCATTCATTATTGATGGATTTATATTTTTGTAGATAGCTTCCATGGTTTGATCGCGATGTCTGGCTCCGTCTTATCTCATTTCGCTATTGATGAAGATCCCTTCGAAACCGCTAGATACGTAGCGCGTAAAAACGATTGTCCGACGAATGACAGTCGCAGAATGGTGGACTGTCTGCGAGAATTGCCAGTTGAAAAATTGATCGGCAGCGATTCCGAGTTGGGGAACATTCGTGCGACTGCCCGAGGTTTCGTCTCTGGCTTAGCCAATCTGCTCGGACCTGGTCCTGTTATAGAAGGTCCCGACGACGGGAGGTAATGTAGATTTAGCAACATCTTTTTAATATCATCAACTTACTATTGAGTAAATATGAGTGTTTTTAAGATCGCTTCCGAACTTCATGACCGCATCACCAGAGAGTTCCTTGAGGCTTGGCAATTTTCCGTCTATACCGCTATTGACGGGAATTATGAAAGATGAAACGGGAGGTGCCATTTTCGGCCAATACAGGGACGAAGTACAGAACAAATTGAACACAGTCCCAGATTATTTGATTAGCGATGTCATACCATATTTGCAAAGAACTATTCCAAATATGCAGAATGGATCACGGTTCATTCCGCAAGCTTTCCGCGGCTATCTCAACATATTCCAAAGTAACGGCAAGCTAGATACTATGGAGAAAATTGCGGAAGCTTTGGGCGATTCGCTCTACAACGCTCCCGCATTTTTGACTGTCGACCAGTGGTCTAAAAAAGCAAATGCGTTCTTATATACATTTGATCATAAGGGAAAAAGAAATTATGGTAAAGATTTTCTCACTGGATTGCCAATCGTCGACGCTAAACAATCCTCGGATGGTATAATTTATAATAATTAATAAACTATATTATATAATACTATATTGTTTTTCTCAAATAATATACTTATTAAGAATTATCTTTCAGGTAAATTAAATCACGGCGACGATCTAGGATTCATCTTTAATCGAAACACAATTACTGGCGAAAAAGTAAGCGATAATGGAGAACCAGATGAAGAAGATGAACGTATAACTGAGATTTTTACAGACATGATAGCAAATTTCGCGAGGAGCGGCATGCTTAGCGTACCTACTACAAACGTGTCTTCTAATGACAGTACTTGGGTACCAAACATAATCCCAAGATTCTCAGACGATAGCAATTCCTTTGTCAGTATCACGACAGCTCCGAAAAGCATGAATAATTTTAGGTAAAAAATTTACATCAAATATTACTCAATATGTAATATATATAATAAATCGATCATCACATGTTAATTTCAGATATTGTGAAATGGGATTGTGGACGGTCATACCGGAACGATTACAATCACCAATGTGCAGTTTGTATAAAGCACCTTTCCAATTAATAGAACAAGGTGCTAAAAAAACAATTTCAGTAATTCAGAAACCTATCGATACATTCAATGAATTTGTTCCTGATCTCAATCTTGATATCGATATTGCAAATAAATCCACAGATCAATATATTGAAGATTCAAATAAGGAGAATATGCAAAAGAAAACGAATGGTGGATTATTCCCAAAAGCACTTTCTATACCAATCATCGGCTAAGTTTTTTTTCAGAACTCATTTATTTTATATGTGCTTTTTTATTACAAAGATAAAATAAAAACATCTAATCATTTAATTTCATTTTTCTGAAGCAGATTTAAAGAGTTTATTATTTTAGGACCTATATTTTCCCATTTTTCTGAACTGTCTTGCGAAAACTTTTGTTCTTTTCCATCTATCTCAGGACTTTTGTTTACCGTTTTATTTTCACTTGTATATGTTATTATATCAGATTGTTCATGATTTTGTTCTTCCGTATGCTGTTCTTCAAGAAGTTGTTCTTCAAGAAGCTGTTTTTCAAGAAGCTGTTTTTCAAGAAGCTGTTTTTCAAGAAGAAACTGTTTTTCAAGAAGTTGTTTTTCAAGAAGTTGTTCTTCAAGAAGCTGTTCTTCTGTAACTAATTCACATTCCATTCTACTTTCAATAGTAACATTTGCAACTGCATCAATGTTCAGCTGACTTTGATTTTTATGTTGTATTTTATTTTGTAATACATTTTTAGTTTCTTCTTCTTCAATTTCTTTATATAAGTTGTCATCTATTTTAGATTTATTTATATCAATACTATCGTTCTTTTCCAATGGCTGTATATCAGTTTCATTCTGTATTATTTCAATTGCAGTTATTTTTGGTCGTTTAGATACAGATTGTATTGCATCTTCACTATCAGAACACTCTTTTTCTTCAAAGAAGACTTTCTTCAAAGAAGTCCTACTTCTTTTGTCTAATTTATCAATATTAGTAACTTTTTCCATTTCATTTTCAAATTCATTATCAGATTCCCTACAAAAATTTATGCATGTTTACAATTTAATCTAATAAATAAATCAAACTTTCAATATATAAATTCTCTCTGAATCTCCTTTTTTGCATATATAATATATAATATATAATATATAAACTTAGAAAAGATTTAAGATACTCACTGCCGTCGAGATAAGCGCAATGTAGGTGCAGCAGGATGTATAATTTTTTCCAATTCAGCTAATGCGAATTTTGCTTCTTGAGCAATACTTAAATCAATATCAAGAGCTGCCATCTGTGATATTTCTAGACAGTATTGTATAGGAAATGCCAATGTAACATGTGGATACATTTGTAAAGCTTTCAATACTTTGAATAGTTCCAAGCGACATACAGTATGAGCTTTATAAAAATTTTGTTCAGTGGAACTCAGATAAAGATTATATAATAAAGATATTATTACATTCTGTACAGTCTAAAAGAAATATTTAAGAACATCATGAAAATGCAATTATATAACAAAATAGTTGTAATAAAATAAATCTAAATAAACTTACTTGGTAAAACATCTGTTTCAGTAAAATACTACCGCTAGAAAGTATGTTCTGCAAAACAATAAGAGCCTCTCTGCATAAATCTGCATCTAGACATCCACTTTTAATAGAACTCTCTCCATTGTTTAAAACTGGATTATTTTCACACTGGCTACGTTTGGAACGTTTTATTGTGCGTTTAGATAAATTCTGCGTTTTTTGTTGCATCTTAAACAATGATAATTCTCTATTAATATATGCTTTAATGTAATTAAATAAATATAGTCAATAAATCCTAATTGTTTATTTCATAAATATATAAATTTCTTATATATTAATATACTAATTAAATTTATAATAGGAATATTATTTAATTAAATTATTTGAAACTTACGGATAATAATATACAATCTCGTTCTGGTGTTACATCTTTTAATATAGAAATAACACATTCATTCGTAATTTTTTCTATGCCTGACAATGAGCCAACATTCATCAGCCATGAACAAAGACATTTGTAAGTGTGTATTCTAACATTTCTAAAAGGTTTACTATTACTAAATGTTATTTGATTTTCTAAAATAGTACTTGTCCATTCCAATGTGTGTTGGAACAAATATAATATAGTTGTCCCATATGGTATTAACTCCTGAGCAAACCTAAAGTATATATTAATATATTATAAACTATGCTATATCATTCACATTTTAAGTTTAAATATATTATATATATATATATATACCCATTTATAAATGCATCCAAAACTGTAAGCAAGCTAATATGCATTTTTGGCAAGATTATATATAGCATCTGTTCTTTACAAGACACTTTATCCTTTAGATTTAATGGCGTTATTGCTAATCCTCGACATAAAAGTCCTAAAATATCGTGAGGTAGAACAGAATTTCTTTCCTCATATCCTCTGCAATTTTAAACCAAATTATTATTTAAAAATTCTATATAGATGTTATTTTATTATATCATTCAATAAATAAGATTAATATATTTAAGATTTGTACCGTAACATTATGGAAAGATAAGTACATAGGTTTGAAAATCTTTGTCTCTGTCCATTATAATATTGTACTATGTCCTTATTAGATATATCTGGTAATTCTAATTTACCCCAGATATCTACACTTTCCAATTCTACTAATTCAGAGAACAATTCATCCATTATAGTGTGCAAGTTATTACAAAGTAACACCTCGCTGTATGTCAATACAGTGTACATAGATTTAGATGGAGGTAATTTAAATGAGCGTTCTGTCACTTTGGACAAAAGAAGATAACATCTTGCACTAGCATTAACCATATTCTCTTGCATAGAATCAATTTGTAACAAAATCATTTTCCGTATCTGTTTCTGAAAATATTAAAACAATAATATATTTTAAATATATAAACATTCATAAATTGACAAAATGTTTTAATTAGAAGTATATAAATATATAAGATGAGCATATTTATATCATCATAACTATAACTCTTGTCCAACAATTACTTTGTGAATGTATATATATATATATATATATAAAACTCAATAAATGATTTATATTAATATGCTAAAAATGTTATTATTTTTTAATAAACACATAACTAGCTTAATATCTTATAATATAATCGATTTAATGATAACAATAAAAAATAATATTTTCTTCATATAATTTCTTATATTTATTATAATTATGAGATAGTATAAAATATATAGTTAAACAAAAGTTTTATTTGTTCTGTTACCTGAAATCGCTCACAAACTTCAGGATAATGATACAGCAGAACAGCCATTAAATAATATATTGCTCCATATTTAGCATCTGGTCGCAATGAACTAAGGATATTCACGAGCTGTTTTACATACTGCATGGAGATCTGCTTGTGCAATTCTGGAATTTGCTTGCAACGTTCGACTAAGACTCCTAACACCTTACAGGCAAGTGTCAAATTCTGCATACTGCTATGTACATTTTCCAATACTTCCATAGCACTGCTTATCCAGAATAATCCGTGTTTTAAAAATGTGTCTTTAGAACACGTAGGCAAGAGCCTATCCAGAATAAATAAAAAATTGCATCCTCCTTGATTTATACGTAAATTAACTTTTTTTATAATGGCATTTTGGATATTATCAACCTAAAATATACATAAGCATATAAACAAAGTATAAACAAAGATGAAGCTCATATAAGCTTCTGAGAAAGATTTAAAAGAATGTCCCTTTCTCACCTCTTGATTATCGAACGGCACATCGTCGTTATTGACCAAGTCGTGCACTATCGATTCAAATTTTTTTGAATTTACATCGACAGAATTCACTAATTTTGTTATCGACGCCATTTTATTCGCTTATAAAAATCGTACTCGTGATTTTTTCTCTTCTTTTTTTATAAATTTCCTAAAGAATAGAGAGATGTTTTCGATCTATTGAGGTTATACAAGGAAGATACAGATGAAAACTTCGGTGTAATAAGGCTCCTGCATACACTTTTCGTAACCGTAAACTTTCAAACCATTATTTTTAAACTCTTAACTCTAATTGGCTAATTTTTACAATACATCTTATAATTACAGTTACAGAAAGTGATGCGACAACTCACCACAGCAGCTACACGTGTTCATGGAATGAGATTTAAGTGTTTATAATAGTTGTATAAGAGAATCAACAGATGGCGATACTACATCTATTGTAAAATAATCTATTATGGAAAAAGGTACATGTGTAATGTAAGAACGTAATAGATTTTCAATTTGTCAAGAATGACAATTTTAATTAACGCAAAAAATTATTATCACCATTAATTACGCATTTATATAATCAATCTGCGTCAATATGAAAATCGATATAGTACGATCGCACGGAGTTCATTTGACGAAACTGTCGCACGATTGCATTCTATCGACGCGATATACTGTATCAAGTTAAGAATTTCTTTCTATTAAATGCAATATACGTAGAGTTTTGATTTTTTTTATGAGCCTTCACATGACATCACGAGCTTTGACCAACTCAAATCTTAAAATATTCAATAAATAAATATTCAAGTAAGACACGAAACCAGTATTTCATTAATTCATAATCGCATTCGAGAAATGATATACTTTATAATATATCAAATGTTTTTTGAAAGTTCAATAGCCTTCGCATTTAAACATGATAGGTCTTGAAATCGTAAAGAAAGAGATACATGCAAAATAAAATAATTTTACATTGAATATGTTTAAGCTGTTGAAATAAGAAACGTTACTAAAAATTATTGTTTGATATATGTTGATTATTTAATACAAATCTTTATGTTTTCGTTTTAAATTAAATTTTTAAGGAAATATTTAATTTATTACAGATTACTTTGATACGCAATACAGTTAATTTATTATATAAAATTGTAATCTTATCGCATTTTGAGATATCCATTGAAAATAATTACATTTTCCAGAAAGAATATCAAAAAATATTCATACACTATCCGTTTAAATGTGTCCATATCTGAGATCAATGTATTTCGATTATATTTGTTCTAATTTTTATTCATATTTGTTTTAATTTTACGCTTTATTTTTTAGTAAAAATATATTTTTCCAAAACAGAAATACAATTTATCGATTTATTTAAATAAAAAATGTATATGTTGAAAAGTATCTTATTTTCCGATTTGCCACCTTCCTATAAATCTTTAAATTTCAATAACTTTTTGCTTTTATATAATTTTTAACTCTCTAAACTAATTTAATCGTGACGTTATTTTCATTTTGTATCGTATTTGTGCACGCATGTGTTAGAATATACTTGTCACTTTGTAGTCTCATTCCTAAGATCAATTGTTGCACGCCATAAAAAGACTATGGCGAAAGGAATAGAGAAGATTATAGGTACAAATATTGACACATATGTCAGTTTATTTAAGCAAAACTATAAATCTCGATTTACAACAAGAATTTTGACAAAAGACTGGAATACAAAAGTCTCGACAAAAATAAGGGTCAATTTCAGTTTCAAAAATAAATTAGTTTTAAAAACAATTTTTCTTTGAAGAGTCGGACCTTGAAAAAAAATCCTGACATCTATTAGACTTGGAAAACAATTTAAGTATTGTATTCTTTGCAGTCCTTACATTAGAATGACACAAACATATCAGGGAACATTCTTGTCGGTCGAGAATAAATTTCGTCTTAGATATATAATAGCCAATAGAGTCAAGGAATTTCCGTTTGAAACATGAAGTTTATATATGTCATTTAAATTAAATTACAATCACCGATCGTCCCGTATTTCTCATCTATGTATCATCGCGAGTGGGCCCCTTTCGCGCCCCTTTACCCTTCTATCCCACGCCCTACCCCTCCTCACGAGATGTCTCCCCCTTCTGTGCCCCGTTCCGCGGTCGGTTCGATTCCCCCCCACCAACTGGTGTCCAGTTATGTTGTGGCGAGCGTCGTTGGCTCGAGTGGTCGGTTCATCTCATCTTTCGCGTCGCTTTGCGAGTCGCATTCTCGAATTTCCATCCGCGGAAGTCGTCGCGCACGATTCGCGACATTAGTGCGCATTTAAATTGCATCGATTCGGTAATCCTGATTGTCCTAAACTACAGCGAGGAGGCGAGGACAATCGTCGGCGGCACACAGGCAAGCAGTCAAGCAGTCAAGGAGATAGGTCGCGAAGTGAAGGTAGCGGCGGAACTGCGAGGAACGGGGAACGGGGAACGAGGAGCGGCATCGGCTTGAATTGGCTGCTTTTCGCGGGCGGCTTGCCCGCGCGATTTCCCGAAGGACTCCGAGACCTTCCGCGATCATTTTCATTCACCGTGGATAAGCGACGGCGAGAATGCGGCGTGATCAACCAACGGATGATGGCTGTTAGAACGGTGAGTGTATTTGTATATACGAGCGTATACGTCAAGCCAAGCGCGCGGCGTATGTACGTGTGCGCGTGCGCTCGCGCGCGTGACCGCGAGCCACTGCCATATTGAGACAACAAGGATTCTCGGAGAGCCCGACCGGTTGGCTGAGAAGCCCATCGCACACCGCTGGATTTCGGGGACGCGACATGATCGTTCCCCCTCGCTCCCCTTCTTCCTCGTCACCCTTCGGGCATCCCACGCGCGGATCCCTTCCGTGGCAGGAGCGCAATGCCACCTTCCGACAGGTGGAATGCGGCGATAGGGGCCATCGGCTTCGCGCGGACGATCGCAGCGACGCAAGCGACTCCGAGTCTCTGAACACGCGAGTCCACGCGGAATGCATTCACGTCGATCTGAGATTTGTCTAATGTCTCTAGTCAAGTGCGTCCTGTCCGGCGACAAGCGCGATATGCAAATCCATACGAAAGTATCTTTCCTCCTCTGCATCCTCCTTTCTCTCTCTCTCTCT